TGTATATCATAGAAGTCTCTGAAATCCTTTTTATTTGAATATAATGTTCAAGTTAGGCAGGTGCTCGCAGACAGAGTGAGGTATGATTAACAGTGGTATGTTTGTGCATTGCTTGTATACATAGTGTCAGATGTTGCCTGGGTTGTTTTGTTTACATATTGTGTTATTGACATTGTCCTTGTTCAAGTCATTTTTAAATTTTAAATGAACAAGATTGTGATGATGTGTATAGCAAGTGAATATGGAATGTATTCATTGGGTGGGTGGGGAGGAGTGTAAGCAATAATGAGTAGGTTACATTATATCTATAAACCCTTGTGTACTTGTGAAACAATGTACTACATAGAAGCAGTCTGTAGGTTGTGTTAAGTTTGTTTTAATGTCCTTATGTACGTGCTTATTCAGTACATTGTGTAGTGAATGTTTTATTGTTCATCACCAGTGTTACATATTAATAAAGGTACATATATATATTTGTACATGAAGTTTTAAATAACATATATAGAACAAAACTTCTGGAAACATTGGATGTGTTTCCTTAACACACCTGCTGTCACTGTTCACCTAGCGGTAAGTAGGTACCTGGGTGTTTGTCACCTTACACCTGCTTTCACTCTTCACCTTATAGATGTTAGTCACCTTACAACTGTTGTCACAGATCACCTAGCAGTAAGTAGGTACATGGGTGTTTGCCACCTTACATTTGTCATTGTTCACCTAGCAGTAAGTAGGTACCTGGGTGTTTGTCACCTTACACCTGCTTTCACTCTTCACCTTATAGATGTTAGTCACCTTACAACTGTTGTCACAGATCACCTAAGCAGTAAGTAGGTACATGGGTGTTTGCCACCTTACACTTGTCACTGTTCACATAGCAGTAAGTAGGTACTTGGGTGTTTGCCACCTTACACTTGTCACTGTTCACCTAGCAGTAAGTAGGTACATGGGTGTTTGCCACCTTACACTTGTCACTGTTCACCTAGCAGTAAGTAGGTACATGGGTGTTTGCCACCTTTCACTTGTCACTGTTCACCTAGCAGTAAGTAGGTACCTGGGTGTTAATCATCTCACACCTGCTGTCCTTGTTCACCGACCAGTAAATAAGTACCGCTTTTATTACCTAAAAAATGTTCAAAATTATTAATACTTGCCAAATTTTGATTAATAACAATGCACAAATTTCCATTCGTAAGAAGCATAACGAAATTCTAGTAACAGAAGTAACTAGTTTTTATGGAAGTATTAATAAACTCTCTAGTAAGTTACAATTTTTTTAATAAAGTCAATTCAACTTAGAAAAGTAATTTTTTTTAATAAATAAAAGCATCTTTTGTTAGGAAAATTATTTTTTAATGACTTAACTATTAAT